ATCAGAATATATATTTATGAATTTATCTATTTGTTTGTTTCATTATAATATTAAGGTCCACCTCAGCCAGCACCAACAAAAAAAACACACAAAAAATACTCCTGAAGTTCTGGTGTCACTTTTGGTTTCGGTGTAGCCACCCCAAAACAATATAACTGCCCCCACCAGTTCACCACAGCCAAACTTTCTGGATGCGCCCCTGAGGGTCCGCTCTAATGACACCAGCCAATGTTTTTGTACTTTCTGTTCCCAGGGGATGTTCGTTCTGGGCTTGCCCTACGCCATCCTGCATGGAGGATACCTCGGACTCTTTCTCATTATTTTCGCCGCCGTGGTGTGCTGCTACACGGGGAAAATCCTCATCGCCTGCCTGTACGAGGAGGACGAAGACGGGCAGCTCGTCCGTGTGAGGGACTCCTATGTGGACATTGCCAACGCCTGCTGCGCGCCCAGGTTCCCAACGCTGGGCGGTCACGTCGTGAATGTAGCTCAGATCATAGAGCTGGTGATGACCTGTATCCTGTACGTGGTCGTCAGCGGGAATCTCATGTACAACAGCTTCCCCAACATGCCCATCTCCCAGAAGTCGTGGGCCATCATCGCCACCGTCGCTTTGCTCCCCTGCGCCTTCCTCAAAAACCTGAAAGCCGTCTCCAAGTTCAGCTTGTTGTGCACGCTGGCGCATTTCGTCATCAACGTCCTGGTGATCGCCTACTGCCTATCCAGGGCGAGGGACTGGGCCTGGGACAAGGTCAAGTTTTACATCGATGTCAAGAAGTTCCCCATCTCCATTGGGATTATCGTGTTCAGCTACACCTCGCAGATCTTTCTGCCGTCCCTGGAGGGGAACATGCAGAAACCCAGCGAGTTCCACTGCATGATGAAATGGACTCACATCGCTGCCTGTATCCTCAAGGGCCTGTTCGCCCTGGTGGCCTACCTGACCTGGGCAGACGAAACCAAGGAGGTGATCACAGACAACCTGCCACCAACTATCCGAGCCGTGGTCAACCTCTTCCTGGTGGCCAAAGCTTTGCTGTCCTACCCGCTGCCCTTTTTCGCCGCCGTGGAGGTGTTTGAGAAAACCTTCTTCCAGGACGGGGGCCGCGCCTTCTTCCCGGACTGCTACGGAGGCGATGGACGCCTAAAGTCCTGGGGACTGACTCTCCGATGTATACTAGTGGTGTTCACCTTGCTCATGGCGATCTATGTGCCGCACTTCGCCCTGCTCATGGGCCTCACCGGCAGCCTGACGGGCGCCGGGCTCTGCTTTCTGCTTCCCAGCATCTTCCACCTCAAGCTCTTATGGAGAAAGCTTCAGTGGCACCAGGTGTTCTTTGACGTCTCCATCTTTGTAATAGGCGGTATATGCAGCATATCCGGTTTCATCCACTCCATGGAAGGGCTCATAGAGGCTTTCAAATATAACATAGAAGAATAGAGACGAGTCATTGGAGGACGGATGCATCTCAATAAATGAGAATAGAATCATAAAGCAAATTTATTTTTACTATTTCCGTTTAAAAAGCTCTTATATATTCATTGCATACAGTGGCACATTTTCAAAGTTTATTTTCTAGTAATTTTGCCTATACAAAATGAACACCCCAAATTCAGTTTCTTTAAGAAGGAAAATATTCCATAGACCAATAAAAAGATCAGTTTTGATACAAATATGTGATATTATCACCATAGCAGTTTTTATTTCAAGGATGATAACTTGAAAACTGTTCATTAGACAGTAACTGACACCTGAGCAAGAAGAGCAACCCAGAAAAAGTTCATTACTAAAGAAGCCGGTTGTTCCACCTGTTGAAAGTGGAAGGTTGAGTGGAAGGAAAAACTGTAGAAAAGAAAAAAAGAATTAGAGAAAATATCCAGTTGTTTGAGCACTTTAAATGGTCATCTCCTGGATGAGTCAGAATCTAGGTGTTGTGTTTTATCAAGTCCAGAATCAGATCATCTACCAGGAAAGTTTAGATAATTTCATGCTTCACTTGTGTCACTATGCTTTGACTGGCCTGCAAACTCTCCTGACCTAAACGCCTTTGAGAACATTTGTGGTTTAAAATCCTTTTTTTTTCATCTGGTCCTAGTAATATTCTAACTTTCCCAGAAACTGAATGTGAGGTTTTCATTTACTGTAAACCTTAATTGACTCAATAGACGCTTGAAACAGCGACGTCCCGCCGCCTGTAATGAATCTATAAAATACGTTTCACTTTTATTTTTGCTGAAATAAATTGGCTTTTCGGTTATATTTTAGTTTATTGAAATGCACCCGTACTCGTTAACGGCAAATTCCCATTTAGTGAAAACATTAAAAACACACAAACACTAAGCGCTCACGTGCGCTCCTTCCCCCTCTGCTTGATTCATGCGTAAAAGCGCGCACTGAGCACACACACGCATACACATTTGCGCACTATCTCTCATGTATTTTACACACACTAAGTCCAACAGCAGCGAAGGAGTCTAACGCGTCCGCCCAGTCGATACCTGTTGTATACATATGCGAACAAAAGAAACACAGACATATTTTCCAGTGGAGTGAACGTTTACAACATTGACCTTAAGAAAAGTTGCAAAAAGAGGGCAGACGCTCGTGTCGCTCTAGCGGTGCTTCTTCCCCACAACGATCGAGTTTGAGAGGCTTGGAGAAAGGAGGAAAAGTGATTAAATTTAGTCTAAACTGCAACGTGACTGCAGGGGCTGACTGTGGTGTTAAAGCCCAAAACAAGCCCGAAGAACAAAAGAGGCAAAATATATATTTTTTAAAAAATGCAATAATCCGATTTTTTTTCTGTATCAAAGCCGAACAACGTTTTTGTTTTATTTAATAAAAATTAAAAATAAAAAATCTGGATATCCCTGATAATAATAACTGGCGGTGTTAAAACATCAAATAGAAGAGAGCAACTGTACAAACTATGCATTGAATGTATGATACAGGCTACAGAAAATGGGACATAGATACACATAAAAGTTAAGTGTTCTGGTTCAGTGGCGTGGACGTGTTGATGCTTTGACAGGTTTTTTCCCCTCCACAAGACCCCTCATTTTTGTTTCTGAGTTTATCAACACGCAATAACAAAGTCCCATCTTAACTTCCCTTAACCTCCCTCCCCCCAAACCTCTCCATCCAGCCCCGTTTTCTCTCAGCCTGGGAGCTCCGAACTGAAACTGCACACCGAATTTAAAAATAACGCATCTAGATCCACACATGGCCTGTTTATGAAAATTAATTTGATACGCTCCAGTTTTAAAAATTTCGATGTCTAAAAATATAGAAAAAAAAATGAAAACCATAATTAATACAAGTGAGATTATCAAAGATGAAAATGTGCATACATTTTTCATTCTGTGCAATCCAATGGGTCCTGTGGAAATGTTATTTAAAAAAAACCGTATGTGTAGTGTGTTATTGTGGTTTCAAAAAGATGGAATGTATATCTCAAAAGTGGTGATCATATATCGTGAAATTAATATTAAAGAATAAAGAAATAAGTGAAATTATATTGTAAAAAATGTGTGTGGTTTTATGTAAAAGAAAAAACGATCAGAACGTGTATTTTTTTTCTCTATAATAAAACAGAAAAAAATGGTGATGGTAGGAGTCATATTTTTTTAAAATTAGATTTTTAAAAAAGAGAGTTTCTAAGTTTATTTTGACTCGAGCCGTAAATTGGTCTTCACTCTACATTCGTGACTTTGGAGAACTTCAGCGCAAGCATGTCTGCGCTTGAACAGTTTTCTGCTGCAGGCGGGCATCAGGCCTTCCTTTTAATTCACTCTGTTGATTCCCTCCTGAGCATGCGGGTAACATCTGGACGAGCCGTTCATTTATTTCCGGGTGGCTTCATTTGGAGACGTCAGGAAATCACAGCAACTGCAAACGAATCTAACGACCAGATGGGCTCCATCTTGCAGAGTTAAGAGCCTGTTCACATGCAAAAAGGAGGGTATAAATAAACAGACGTGTACTTCTTTCTGTATTTAGAGCGATCCCATAGTCCTCTTCTGTTATGAAAATGTTCAGAAAATCCCAAAGGGGGAAAATGATTTAAGCAAAATATGCAAATAAAGCCCTAACAGCATATAATTACATGAACTGTAAGATTAATTTTTAAAAGCATGCATTATATTATCTGCAAACCCAAATGATAGAAAATCCCAGCTTTATAGTAGTCATTTCACTTTAAACGTTCTCCATTACTTCTCCATATTGTCGCAGGGAGACACCTAGTGGACACAGATTAAACGCACAAACCGAGACAACGGTGGTTAGTCAAGTATACAAATTATGAAAGTGTAGTACTATCAAAAAGTGTTTGTCCATTACTTCTTCTGCTTTTTTGTCACACTTGAATGTTTCAGGCCTTCAAGCAAATTTCAATATTGGTTGAAGATAAAATACATTTTCAAGTAAATAAAATATATCTTTAGATGATTTTGTTTTTAATTAAACTAAGATTCCCCCTTAAGAAAAAAATAAATTGCCTTATGAAATAACATGGTGGTGGTGGTAATTAGACTTTGGGACTGCTTTGGTTTCTTAACTGGACAACTTTTCATAGTTGATGGAATCATGTTTGATCTCTACCAGGAAATCCTGCAGTTACAGAACCTTAAAACCAATCACTTTGGTTCCACAGGAGGAGAGTAAACCAACACACAACACAAATAAACCTTAGGACTGGCCTACCCAAAGCCTGCATGATCTCAAACATGCTGTTTATACCTGAAAATTCTCCAAGGTAACCAATTTAAAACATGTCTGCAAAGGAGAGCACTTTCCTTTTTATGGGACTAAGATGCTTGACAAGGTTGATGAAGTTATATCATTCAGGCCCAAATATTTAAAATGCATATTAGAAAATCTGCAATAAAATTGCAAAAATATTATTTTCCCAGTACCACAGTGAGTGCAAGTAACAATAGAATGACTTAAATGAGTAGATTAGCTGTGGAAAGGCCCAGAGAGAAATTTAAAGCTGAAACTGATTTAGAATGTGCATCAAGTGCTGGTTTTTAAACATTTTCCTTCAAACATTTTTTTCCCTTCACAGGTACTGCATAAAACCATCCATCAAAAAAATAAAAATAAAATAAAAATAGATCAGTCCATCTTAAGTGGAATTATTCTAGACTGGATGCGGTGCTGCTGTAAAACAAATATTAAACACGAGAATGCTTAATACACTTATTAGAATATAGAATACACTTATTTATGCATATGCAAAGAAAACAGATGAAAAACTAACAGGAGTGTTTTCCTGTTCCAGTTAAATGTGTTAAGACCATCAACATAGTTTGCTTTAGCCTCCCCCCTCAGCCCCCCCCCCACCCAATAAAACTATAAAACACTTTAAAATCCACTGATGAAACCATCTTTCATTACCTAGATTTGTTTTCATTTCCATTTTGTAAACAAGAAAAAGGCTTCTGTCGATTTTATCTTCAAAAATAAACCAACTCATATAAACACTATTTAAAAAATAAAATCTGTTTCAGTGGTTGTCTGGCGCCCTCTGCTGGGCACAACTGTACTTGAATTTGATCAGCTGCTCAGTCCAATTCAAGTCCTAAAAGGTCTGCAACCAAGAAACACCTCATTGATTAACACAATGTTTCTGCTTCTAAATGTTAATTGATAGAAGAAAATTTATTCACATTTCAAGTAACATCTCCCAAAACCTTGAGAAAATTTTTTCATAATTACTAAAACCAGTTAAATATTTACAAAAAAAATCCTCATTGTGAAAATCTTTGTAGAGTCAAAGCAGGTTGTGGAAAAATCAGCTGCATGTTAACGTTCTGCAAAACTGTGTAGGCACAGCCAGTTGTTGGGAGAACAGTCACTGACTGGACTCTTCAGAGCTCAGCGTTGTAGGCTTCTTTGTTGAGCATTCGAGCACCCAGGGGTGGGAAAGGACTCCCTCAATGGGCAACCTGTGCATGGGGTTGTGCTTCAGCAGCTTGGCCACCAAGTCTCTAGCTCCGGCACTAATGGAAGCAAGTGGAGGGTAACTGTACTCCACCTGCGTCAATTAAAAAAAAAAAAAAATTAAACACATTATTAGCCGTTTGGTTTGATCACCCAAGATATTTTTATTTTGGAACTATGTGCTCCAAAAAGCTCAAATATTTGTATTACCGTCTTTACCCTAAAACTCCTGCGAAAATTAGGAGTTGCGTGTATTTTACACAAAAACCACTTCATCAGAATTCTTACCCTTGAAATCCTACGGTAGGTTTCATCGTGAGTTTTTGCTTCAAACGGGGGTTTTCCAACAAGAAACTCGTAGCAAAGGACCCCCAGACTCCACAGGTCCACCTTTTCATCGTGAGTTTTGCCCTCGATCATCTCTGGAGGAAGGTAGTCTAGTGTCCCACACAGGGTGGACCTCCTGTATGGGAAGAAAAAACAGAAAATGTCAGATCTGAAATGACTACAGAGCATGCCAAGACATGTCAACATGGACATACCTGGAAGATGGAGTGTGAACAGACCAACCAAAATCGGCAATCTTCAGCTCCCCATTACCTCCAAGCAACAGGTTCTCTGGCTTGATGTCTCTGTGAATCACATTCTTCGTATGACAGTAGTGGAGCGCATCTGCCAGCTCCATGATGTACTAAAAACAACAAAAGCGTCACAACTGTGAGCTTTAACTGGACCATATGCGAGTCATGTTTAAAATGGTCACTGGCTGGTAAATTGGGACACTTACTGTTGCAGTTCTGTCCTCAGAGAAACTCCCACAGCGCTGCAGCTCGCCGTACAGCTCTCCTCTGGGTGCATATTCAAGAATGAGATACACACGGGAAGCATCGTGGAAATAGCCATAGAGGCGAAGGATGTTGGGATGTCTGCAGAAAAGAAAAAAAAAAAAAAGAAAAAATAGATTCAGAACATTATTCAAAGTTCTGCAGACAACTTAAAACGGGGAAACTAATGCGAGCTGAAATGTATTTTAAGATAAAACTGCTGATTCATGTAAAATGTCTACAAACCATTCTGCTTGACTGTTTTAAACAACCTGTTGGCTGACATTTCATTATAAGCACATTGTACCTCAGATGAGACTGGATCTCGACTTCTCTCCTCAGCTGGTGCTCTACCCCCGCCTTCTCCAGCTGCTTCTTGAAGAGAACCTTCAGGGCCAAGATGAACTTTGTCTGGCGCTCCCTAGCCAGGTAGACGTTGCCAAACTTGCCCTTTCCCAAGGGACGGCCAATGTCAAAATTTTCCAGGCTCCATGGTTTCCTGTTTGAAAACAGGATGTAGCTCTCATCTCATTTTAAAACAGCATAATGCATGAAAAGTATTAAGATTTTAAACTTTACATACTTTGATGACGAGGCCTGACTGGTCTTGGCAGGTTTGGCTAAAACAGCAAACAAGTATTTTAGTATTCATTTAAAACTCTGACATTTCCTGCTCCAGCTCCAGCTCAGTGATGCACTCACTCTGCGGCTTCTCCTGCTTTGCTGGTTCCGACGGAGGCTTGGTCGAGTCAGAGTGGCCAGCTGGCACATGCGTCTTTGGCTGGTTATGCTGGGAAACGGGTTTTGGCTGTGGTGCTGGAGTTAGTTTCACAGTGGCTGGGTTTACATTCTGGTCAGCAGGAGGAGGGTGCTTGACCGCTACAGAGACATGAGGCACTGGTTTCTGCTGGCTAACAGGCCGCTGGATACGCTGCGGCCCATTCGACATGCCCAGAACCCGCTGATGCTGAGTCGGTGTGACTACGGGCTTCTGAATGCCTTGCGAATGGTGAGACACAGGAACCCGTTTCGGTCCGTTGCCGTTTGACTGCAATCAAAACAAAAAATGGTTGCAATCAAAGCAATTAGCTTAAGTATAAAATTCAATGTGGTTAGTGTGAACAATTAAAACCCCCCATTTCTTTATGCAAATAGAGTCCCAAAGAAAATCCATATAAAAATGCAGGTCTTTTTAGAGTGGTATTTGTGTATTTAGCCATGATCGCTGCGACATTTTTTGATACCTTTTGAAAAGAAAAAAAAAATTAAAGACTGGAAAGAAATTTTAGTTTTCTAGTCATTAGTCACTTTAGACCCACATTGCACACCCCTACTTGGAAAATAAACTGATTTCATATTTTCAATTACAGGAACCTGTAAAATTATTCTGCATTGTTTATATCTGGAGATTAAACACAGTGTCCTTTAGTACAACTGACAAAGTCAAATAATCTACGATACCATATTTCCTATTTAGCAGCTTGAATATCATTGAAATTACCATTAATTCTGGCCTTTGGGGTTTCATGCCCTTTATCACTTTGAACGAGGTGGATGAGTCCATGATCTGTTAAGAAAAGAGATGGTTTGGTTAACAAATTATTAGAAGTACCAATTAAATAATCTAGCGCCTTTAATTTTATTATACAATTTATTTATAATAACCATAAACCCTATTATATAATTTAAGTAGGCACAGCAGCCATCTTTGTGATCCATGACTTGCTAGCTTAGCGGAAAACGCTGAAAACATGATCTACAGATGACCTTTTAAGCATGCAGTCATTACTTACCCAAATGTATTATTGCACAGTCTCCGAAAGCAACCGCAACAGGCTGTTGTGCAGAATAAAAACAGCTTTAAACCAGGTAACCCTACCCAGGCTACTTAGCAGCTACATCGACCAGCAAACGGTAGCTTCTGTTTGAGCTACATTAACAAGGAACACGAAAAGGAACGCTAAAATACGATAAGCTTTACTAACAAAATAAAATAACAGCTTTTGTAGTTTGTGTGTTGAAGAGAGGAAAAACTAACAAAAGAGATAAATCCACAAAACACGAAACGCAAATCGTAGCTCAGAGGGAGAACACGTCGTTTAAACGGAGCCTGTTTGATTTCAAATGTACCTCGGTTCAAAACCTTTAAATAAACCCCCGCTTCTGATAGGCTGCACGAATGCGATATGCTTGATTTTCATTGGCTGATGCAGGATTCTAAACGGGTAGGGCGAGACGTCATTATGACTTCCAAAGGAATCTTCCAACCACGAGACGGCAATGTAATACCCTCAGGCTTAATTGAAAGCTCTGTTCTAAAATCAAGCATGTGGACCCATACATAAATGTCTTTATTATGTCTATGAGCCTACTTTTAAAAACTCAATGCTTGTTCACCCTTCTAACTAAACTTAAACTGATATTATGTGCTTCCCCACCGTTGGTTTCTTCCAGTTGCAAGTCCCTAATTTGGCCGCTTGGTGACAGCAAATAGTCCTATGACGAAGATGCGGTATCGTCTTTCATCTTTCAGGATATAAGTTGATCCAATAAATTTTAATAAGGTCAAAGTTCTCACTTCACTGGGCTGTTAATATTAGATACATTGACTTGATGTTAAACCATGAATATGTGAGTAGAGTTCGAGTTTTATAAGCAGGAACTCTTGTGAACTCAAACAAACTGGGATATTTTATGTTTTTTATGCTTTAATTTATGTAAAATATTTGAATCTTTTTCAAAATAAACCGTGTGAGGACACTAAAAGGAAGACAAAACTAAATAAAACACACATAGTACTGCCTCTCTATAGTCTAAATAGAATATTGTCAAAATGGTA